TATAAATTAATTATAAAATAATACATTAATTAAATGTACTATTTACGTTCACAGGAAGAAAATTAAACAGTTGATTAATTTAACGGGTGCACCTCGTTTTAAATAGGTTAAATCTTTAATTTGGTCTGTGAATTATTGTACAGATCTCTGATTTGATCTCTGAACTAAAACAATCTCTGATTTAATTCTTAAACTATTGTACTGACTCGATTTGATCCTTACTGTTTATCAATTTACCTTATACCTTAAGTTGATTTTTTCATATAAAAATTAATTGATATGTCTTATTATTAACGTGATATGTGACCGTTAAGTTATTATTTTTCATTGTTAAGTAACGGATATATTATTTATTTTTTACATGGAAAGACTAACTTGAAGCAAATTAATAAATAATAAAGATCAAATTGAAAGTTCATATAATAATTTAGAGATTAAATCAAATTTTTTTTTAATTTAAAAATTAAATAAAAAATTCATACAATAATTTCAAAATCAAATTAAAAATTTAACCTTTTAGGTATAAGAGTAGGGTTGACTATACATGCCGTATTAAAATATTCATCATCACCTTAAGACTTAGAATGTGATGACATAAAAGTCCTCTAGAAACAGATATTTTGCTGCAAAGTAAATTGAAACCACACAAGCAAATATAATGGAGGGAAAGCCGCGTTGGTTGTACCTAAATTTGACATATATAGTAAATTGAAATATTATAAACTAAAAGAACACTCTAGAAGATGCTGCGGCAATTTACATCACCGACTTTCATAAGCAGAAAAAGAAGACTGGAAGAAGTTGGCAGCTTTTGTGTGAACATTTTTTTGAAAGAGCAATGCTAGGGCACTCGCTTTTCGCACTCTCCGGTCAGGACTTTCTCTTTTATTGGGCCACGTTATCTTGGTTATGAGAAATTGCCCTAAAAGCTTTTAGAGAAGCTTACGTGGCCCAATGAAAGTAGAAGTGTTGGTCAGAGAGTGTGAAAAGCGAGTGCCTCTAGCATTGCTTTTTCTTTTTTGATAAAAACGATGATTAAAAATTAATATGTTAAAAGTGTTAATGAAAAATATTAAACTTAAAATTTAAAAATACAAACTATGAATTACCTTTTAAAACAGCAAATGATCACTGGATCACTACATGTATAATGCCTAGCATTGCTCTTTTTTAAAACGGGTAATGGAAGCTTTTGTGTGTGTTTAAGAGAGAAAAAGAAAAGTGAGCAAAAGGGTAGGTATTGGTCCAAAAGTAAGAGTGAGAGTGATGTGAGTTAACAAAGTATATACCTGTATTGTAGTGATTTCAATACAAAGCCAGACTTGTACCAAAAAAAAATAATAATAAATAGATACAAAACCAGACTTTTATACAAAAAGTCTTGTGCTCTTTCCTCTCTCACTCAACATGTCGCCCCTCACCTAGTCAAGACGGACTTATCCTCACACCTCAATAGATTCCATTTTGTGGAGTGAGAGATCAGAATCAGAGATGGATTTCTTTGTTAGTTGCTTGCTATGTCTTCTCTTTGTGTGGATCTTGGTTAAACTTTTTGGTTCAGTTACAAATGGAAGCAGAGCAAGGTCCGGTAGGCTTCCCCCTGGTCCTCG